ATATGTACATACACACACACACACATATGCACAATGGAGCATTACTCAACCATTAAAAAGAATGAAATAATGCCATTTGCAGCAACATGGATGGACCTAGAGATTATCATATTAAGTGAAGTAAGTCAGACAGAGAAAGACAAATATCCTATGATATCACTTATATATGGAATCGAAAAAAAAGACAAATTTTATTTACAAACCAGAAATAGACTCTTGAACATAAAAAACAAACTATGGTTACCAAAGGGGAAAGTCAGGGAGGGATACATTGGGAGTTTGGGATTGACAGATGCACACCACTATATATAAAATAGATAAACAACAAGAACCTACTGTATAGCTCAGGGAACTATATTCAATTTCTTATAATAAGCTATAATAGAAAAGAATCTGAAAATATATGTGTGTATATATATATGTTATGTATATAACTGAATCACTTTGTTGTACACCTGAAACTAACATTGTAAATCAACTATATTTCAATAAAAAATAAAAGTTTTTAAAATTAAAATTTAAAAAATCCTCAAGTTCTTTGACATTCCTCCCTTCAAGAGGTAGTGATTAATCCTCTTCTCCTCCTTGAGTGTGGGCTGGATTTAGTGGCTCACTTCTAACAAATAGAATATGGCATAAGGGATGGTGTGTAACTTCCAAGGAGAGGTCCTAAAAGATATTTTGCTTTTCTCCTTTCTCTCTAGTCTTGGCTTTCTTGCTCTGGGGGAAGTGGGCTGCCATGTTGTGAGGATATTCAAGCAGCTTTACGGAGAGGTCCAAGCCAGGACCTCCTACCAACTGCCAGCACCAACTTGCCAGGCTTCTCTGTGAGCCATCTTGGAAGCAGATCCTCCAGCCCTGGTCAAGCCTTCAGAGGACCACAGCCCCAGCTGACCTCTTGACTGCAAGCTCATGAGAGACCCCTGACCAGAGCCAGCCAGGTAAGCCACTCTCAAATCCCTGACACCCAGCAAGTGTGAGATAATAAATGTCTGCTGTTTTGAGTCATTGGATCTTGTTGTTACTTGTTATGCACCAAGAGATAAACAATAACCCAGCTGGAGCTTACACTCTGTTAGAAGACACAGAAGCATCATCACAATTCAGTGTGATTACGGTGACTCTAAGAACAACTTGAAATATATATCCTATGAGTGCAAAGAAAAGGTAAGGGGTATAGGGAAAATGACATTTGGGCTGGACCTTTATCTAGTAGGATTTTACTAACAGAGAATGCAGAAGACGGAGGCAGATAAATGTTGGAGAGTTAAGATGGAGCTGGATTGTAATGGGTTTCAAATGCCATGATAATGAATTGTGACTTTCCATGTATACGTGTATCAAATCATCATAAGTAGCTTACAATTCTACTTGTCAATTATACCTCAATAAAGCTGAAAAAAATTTTAAAAAACAATTGTGACTTTATTCTGCAAACAATGGGAAGTTTTTATGCATGATCAAATCTGTCTTTAGAGAGAGAACCATCAGGAATATGAAAGGTCATTTTAATTGAAAAAGTGTGTCAGGAAGACCAGTTGACAGACTATTATAACAGCTCAGTTAAAAAAAACCCAAAGCACTTCTCAAAGCATCGAGATAATAAGAATAAAAGAGAGGTGAATTATTTCAGGAATATTTCAAGGGTTAATTAATGGGATTTGGTGACTGCTTTCATATATAATGTATAGGAGTTGGAGGAGTCAAAACTTTAAGCAACAAGGACATAAATGATGGTGGATCCGTTTAAAAACTATGTATGGACATCACTTAGATGTGAAATCTAAAAAAATGACACAGATGAACTTATTTACAAAACAGAAACAGACTCACAGATATAGAAAACAAACTTAAGGTTACTGGAGAGAAAATGGGGGTGGAGGGAAAAATTGGGAATTCGAGATTTGCAGATACTAGCTACTATATATATAAAATAGATAAACAATAAGGTGCTATTGTATAGCACAGGGAGGTGTACTCAATAGCTTGTAATAACCTATAATGAAAAAGACAATATATGTACTAACACAATATTGTAAGTCAACTATACTTCAATTTTTAAAAAGTGTACATGGAACAACAGAGGAAGAGCAGGCGTGGGAGAGAAGCTGGCCTCAGCTTTGCACAAGCGCGGTCTGAGGAGTCTTGGGACGTCCAAACCAGCTCTTTGACAGCTCGGTCAGAAATAGCTGGATTGGATTTAGGAAATGAAAGCCAGAATTAAAGGTATTTAGGATGGTGGGTACAGCTCAGTAGTAGAGCACATGCTTAGCATGCATGAGTCCTGGTTCTATTCCCAGTACCTCTATTAAAAAAAAAAAACCCCCAAAAAAAAAAAAGTATCTGTGGTTCATCTCCAAGGGGACTGTTGAAGCCATGAGGTTATCTCAGGGTTCCCTGGGGAGTGTGCTGAGTGGGAAGAAGCGCGGGTTCAGCAGAATCCTAGGGCTCCCCAGCCCTGAGAAGGCAGGAGGAGGAAGAAGAAAGGGCGGGCAGAGGAAGCCGGAACACAAGCATCTCACCAGGGCAGGTTGCCCCAGGCAGGATGAGAAGGAGCCCCGGGAGCCCCTGGGTGCAGGCAATACCTTAATTGGACGTTGGAGTCCGCTTAACTAACAGTGGGTAGAAGCTGAGGAAAGGAGGTGAGAAAGTAATCTATTCTTGTTTTGTTTTGTTTTATTTTGTTATTTGGGGGGGCAGGGAGAGGTAATTAGGTTTATTTATTTTTAATGAGGTACTGGGGATTGAACCCAGGATCTCGGGCATGCTAAGCACACACTCTACCACTGAGCTCTACCCTCCCCACGTAATCTATTCTTTTTACGAAGTCTGGTGAGAAAACGGAAAATGGATGGTGTCTTGGGAGATATAGAGGACATAAGGGGGGATCTTTTCATATTTTTTGAGATCAGAGAATGTTTAGAGACAGAGAAGATAGACTCAGGAGGGAGAGAGGGAAATACTGAAAATACTAGAAATATAAGAGACCACTGATGAAACCAGGGAGGAGGCGTGAGGGTTGCTCTGACAACAGGAAGAAGAAGGGAAGCCCCTCTGAGGCAGGGGCCACTACCTGAAATTGGTGAATACACAGCTGCGTCTGGAGGTGGAGGAGATAATAACCTCTCGCGTTTAGACTGTGCCGTGCAGTTGCCCTGTGAGGGAGGCAAGACAGTGATTACCAGCTCCTTCTTGTCGCTCTTCTGAGACACATGAGTGACCAAGGGCCACATAATTAGCAGGTAGCTGAAACAGGACTCGGACCAGAGGTCAGCACAGGGTCCCCTCTGGAGCCTCCCTGGCTTCCTAGAGCATGACACTGATCAGGTGAGCACCATCTGACTCTCTCCACCAGTCCCATCGCGGCAGCTGAGAATTCTGCAACATCACCTCTTAACTAAATCGGAGTAGCCCCTCCTTCCAGAACAGAACCTCTGGTTTGCATGCTCTGTGTCTTTATTCCCCTCACAAGGCCCTTCCTTGCTCCATGTCCCTTTGCCTAAAAGGTAGCCACCCTTCAAGATAAAGAGCATGCCTCT